CTCGGCAGCACTATAACTTGTCAGTTTTTTAATTACATCATTGCACTTATTCCTTCTCATTCTTTTGATGCGTGTAGCTCATTTTTGGGATATTTTTACCTCAATTATTACATATGGCACCTTTAATCATTATATTTCTGTCGTCAGAACAGCTATACAGCTGATTGACAAAGTGCTGTGTTGTCATAGGAACATCCAAGGTAAAAATAATTATATTACGTTGTCTGTTGTTGCTCCCTTCATCAAGTTTCAAGCGGCTACATAAATGACACACTAGGTGTCATGCTCACGCCAAATTCCCACTTGAAGAGCTTTGCCGTCTGCCCTTTGAAGGGAGTAGGGCATAGGGAAGCTCACGAGCAATAAGCAAGTCCCAGTTGGGTCCGTCACTTATTTGGTTCCCCGGAAACATTTCCGTGTGTACCGTGTTACTTGCAGCGCGTTTCTGTATTTGGTGGTGTTGTGAACGTTTGCAGCGCGTTTCTGTATTTGGTTGTGTTGTGAGTACTTGGAGCACACGTGTGTTGTGGATCTGATGAAGATGTTTTTCTTAATTTGCGGATGTTTTTTTGTATTTGCACGTGTTTTTATAGTTGCACACGTTTTTTTTGTATTTGCATTCGTCTTCATCAGGTTGCAGCGCGGTGAGCTCTCTCGGCCACCGTAGTCCCGCTTAAAATCACCCAAACTGGTTGACAGCAGCGAGATCAGAGAGTGTCACAACTCTCATATTTAACGGCTCTGGGGGGTATTGCACAAAAGCAAGATAAGGGATTAAGCTGGGATTTTCCAGTTATCCTGGCTGAATTTAGCCCTGACTCGGTTGCACGAATGGAGGCTAAATTAATCTACATTAAGTTACTATGGAGATTTACACTTTGCAGCTAGCCTGCTCTAGAGCAGGCTAACAACCAGGCTAAGATTAATCCTAGTGATTTATCGACTAGTTCCTCCCTAAATCCTACTAGATATTAATGTTTTAGTTACTTTATGCTCCTGCATTAAAATACTAGATATACTGCCATTCATCTAAGAATGCGTACTGATATTTTAGTTACTATTAAAAACTGCTGTTCATTTCACTGTCAGAGGTTTGATGAATATGTTATTTGAGATTCAAAGCATTTATTGGCATACACCTGCAGTGAGGAAAGCAGATTTTCCTGAGCAATTATAACTTTGCTGTCCACAATAAATGCCAACACAATGCAAAAGAACTATACTATACAATATGAGAAATAGAAAGACTATGTATATCTATGCAAATATAGAGTAGAAATGTATAGTTGAATGATAAAAAAAATTATAGGCTATTTTATTGCAGTTGATGAGATAATAAGAAATGGCTCATTAAGTCGTAAATGTGGTTTCATGTAACAACAAGGTCAATATATAGTATATATAGACTAAAGATTTGTTTTTCCTATTCACAATGGCTTGCCCTTTGTTGGATGATGTAGTTGATGAGGAAGTTTTAATACTCAGACGAGCATTCAGCCATGAAAGAGTCATCCGAGATAGGGCAGACCCATTGGAATCACTGGCTTCCCTTTATAGGCCTGTGGTGCTGTGCTGTGGTGAAGTATTGGGTTGGAGGGCCACCCCCGTACCAGATATATGACTTTTTTTTATTGCTAAAATCAGCACAGACAATTAAATGTCAGCAAACATGTCACCATGTTCTCTGCAGACAAGTCACTTACCAGCCTGCAAAATATTCTTGTATTTAATCTAGACTTTCTGCCAAGTCCTTTTTTGGCCAGACATGTTTGTTCTTTAAGAGGAATAGATACAAATGATAAAATAGATTAGATGGATAAAAATAGTGCAAAATATCTGATTATAGATTACATTAAATCAATTAGAAACAAAACCTACATAGAAATAGATAAGAGTAAAAAGATTAAAGAGATAATAGACATAAAATAAACTAAATATATAAAATATACACATAGTAGGTGTCACAGTCTTCGTCTGCACCGTCCTGTCTTGTCATCAGCACTACACTTCCCAGGATCCTCTTGTCTCCACACCTGAACTCACTCCCTCATCAGCCTCCCGTTCAGCGTCCTGTATTCATCTGTTTCACCTGTTTTCACCTCGTTTAGTTTGATTCCTGTGTGTATTTAGTTCCTTCCCATTCAGTCTGTCTTTGTCGGTCGATGTTAATGTTACCCAGTGTTCCGCCTGCCTGTTTCCTGTTTGTTTGGGAATAAACCTTTTGTATTGGAGCTTATCTGGACTCTGCCTGTTCCTTCTGCCTGAACCCGCACCCGTGACAGATCGACCGACCACCAAAAAAGGGATTATTATGGATTTAGCCACTGTACAGCTTCTCCTCCTGGAGCAGGAGGATCAATCCCTCGAGGCCCACACACAGAGGTATTTGGATTTGGTACCTCATGTTCACTATGATGTTACCAGCCTCTGTGTGTTCTTCTGGGCAGGCCTAAATGCTGAAACCCAGGCACGCCTGCCCGGAGACGGGCCTCGAGGGGACTTTGCGGCCTATGTGGAGTGGGTGCTGGTGTCATGTGGATCTCCCTTTACCCTGTATGACGTCACCAGCCCCACTCCATCGCTCGAATGCTCTCCAGAGACTGAATGCTCTTCACCGCTGGTTCCGTCCAGCTCTCCAGAGATTGAATGCTCTTCACCGCTGGGTCCGTCCAGCTCTCCAGAGATTGAATGCTCTTCACCACTGGTTCCGTCCAGCTCTCCAGAATCTGAATGCTCTTCACCGCTGGTTCCGTCCAGCTCTCCAGAGTCGGAATGCTCTTCACCGCTGGTTCCGTCCAGCTCTCCAGAGATTGAATGCTCTTCACTGCTGGTTCCGTCCAGCTCTCCAGAGACCGTCCAGCCAGCGCCAAAGACCGTCCAGCCTGCGCCAGAGACCGTCCAGCCTGCGCCAGAGACCGTCCAGACAGCGCCAGAGACCGTCCAGCCAGCGCCAGAGACCGTCCAGCCAGCGCCAGGGACCGTCCAGCCAGCGCCAGCGACCGTCCAGCCAGCGCCAGCGACCGTCCAGCCAGCGCCAGAGACCGTCCAGCCAGCGCCAGAGACCGTCCAGCCAGCGCCAGAGACCGTCCAGCCAGCGCCAGAGACCGTCCAGCCAGCGCCAGAGACCGTCCAGCCAGCGCCAGAGACCGTCAAGCCAGCGCCAGAGACCGTCCAGCCAGCGCCAGAGTCCGTCCAGCCAGCGCCAGAGACCGGGATCCCACCCAGCCTCCCTCTCCCGCCTCCTCTCATCTGTCCTCCCTCTGCTCTCCTGCCCTTCAGCTCCCCGAAACCAGCCTGGTTTGTGTATCCCCGGTCTTCGCCTCACACCTCATCCTCTGAGACACTTCCTCGGCCCCCGGTCCCATCGGCTCCCCCGTGGCTGCTACCTCCCTCAGCTCCTCCATGGTCCCACAGTCCACCAGCTCGGCCAGGCTCCCTCGTCCCTCCGAACTCGCTGCACTCCCTCGTCATCCCCCCCTCACCTATGGACTTCCTTACTTTGGCTCCGCCCCGTTTTGTCACCCCTTCGGTTCTGTTGGACTCCTCACTCCCTCCAGTCACCCGTCAGCCCTCACGCCCTCTGACCTCACCGTGTCCCTCTGTGCCCCTGTCAGCACTTCTGTCACCAGAGCCTGCGGTGTCCCCTTGTTCCCTCGGTCCCTCCTCAGCACCCATCGTCGTCTGTCCCTCAGCTACACCCTGGTCTCCTCTCCCATCCGCTCCGCCCCTGTCAGTCGGCCCCTGGTGTTGTCAGCCCACTACCATCGGCTCCACCAGGGGTCCTCCCTCCAGCTGCTCCGCCCTGGTCTCGCCCTCAGCCGGCTCCGCCCTGGTCTCGCCCTCAGCCGGCTCCGCCCTGGTCTCGCCCTCAGCCTGCTCCGCCCTGGTCTCGCCCTCAGCCTGCTCCGCCCTGGTCTCGCCCTCAGCCTGCTCCGCCCTGGTCTCGCCCTCAGCCTGCTCCGCCCTGGCCACGCCCTCAGCCTGCTTTGCCCTGGGGACGCCCTCAGCCTGCTCCGCCCTGGGGACGCCCTCAGCCTGCTCCGCCCTGGCCACGCCCTCAGCCTGCTCCGCCCTGGTCTCGCCCTCAGCCTGCTCCGCCCTGGCCACGCCCTCAGCCTGCTCCGCCCTGGCCACGCCCCGCCCAGCCCCCAGTTCGTCCCCCCTCCTTCCTCTGTTATGCGGCGTGAGGTCACGCCTCCCGGGAGGGGGGAGTTCTGTCACAGTCTTCGTCTGCACCGTCCTGTCTTGTCATCAGCACTACACTTCCCAGGATCCTCTTGTCTCCACACCTGAACTCACTCCCTCATCAGCCTCCCGTTCAGCGTCCTGTATTCATCTGTTTCACCTGTTTTCACCTCGTTTAGTTTGATTCCTGTGTGTATTTAGTTCCTTCCCATTCAGTCTGTCTTTGTCGGTCGATGTTAATGTTACCCAGTGTTCCGCCTGCCTGTTTCCTGTTTGTTTGGGAATAAACCTTTTGTATTGGAGCTTATCTGGACTCTGCCTGTTCCTTCTGCCTGAACCCGCACCCGTGACAGTAGGTAAGTGTTTGCAATTATTCTTCATGTTAAATGTATGTCCACTGGTCACATTTAAGGCAAAATATACAATTATTTTGTAGCACCTCTAACCTAAATTAGTTTGATAGCTATATATCTATTACCTAGGCTCTGAGCAGTAATTGACAAGACTCACAAGGAGACTTACACTTTTTTTTTTTTAAAACAGAACAGCTGGCAGATTTATTACACAGTCACTGTGCAACAAACTATTCACATATTATTTTCTCTTACATTAGAAAATACCCCCAAATAAAATAGAGCTCTTTCATTTAAAAAAAAATAGGAAAACAAAATAAATTGTCCTTGGAAAACAGAAAGTCACTCTACCCGGGTAGTAAACCAAAACACATTCAAGTTCCTTATCTGAAATCCTTGGAATCCAATATCCGAGGTCTGGATACGAATCAGTTCAGTCACTCTGCAGAAGAGAATCCAACACAGCTGGCCACACTGCGTCCAAACGTTCTCTCTGTTGAATGTCACTCACTGGGACAGGCTCGCCATCGAAGTCGGTATGGTTTGAAATCAAACTGAATCCAGGATGAAAACCAATCTGTACATAGCAGTACAGAATAGATACAAAACAATTATAATTCTTTATATCTCCTTTCCATATATGGTCATTTACTTTTTTCCAATAAACCAGCTACACATTTAAACCATTAACTATGATTATAAGAGAACTGTTCAAATCACTCTACGACTATGCTTCATACTGTTTGACTAGAGACCATAGTTAACATTGGCAAAGCCAAAGCATAGTAAAAGATTAAACAATAACATTTATTTTCCTAAATAAATGTATCTTACAGGATTAATGCATTTTTCAATCATAACATGTAATGAACCGTATGCTATTAAACTACTAAACAACCTGAAATTAATGCATTATTTCCCCATTAGTCATTTTACCTCAGTTAAACACATTTTAGAACCCAGTACTTAGCTGAATGCTCAGCTTAGCAAAACACAAAATTCACACATTATGAGCTACGTGCAATATAAACATATTACAATACTCTAGTCTCATGTCACTCCGATTGGTTTTATTTTAATAACATGAGATCTTTAAACCTAATATTTTTCACTGATAACATCACCTATTATTAGCTAGCAAGCTAATTAGCAAGCTTGAGCACATTTAGACAACAGAAACTCACCGGAGGTTTCGGCAGAAAACAGGGTAAAGAACAACAGAAAAATGTCCTCCACAATGCAATCCTCGAGTTACTAGTAAAAAAATATCTTATCCACTCAACTCCTGATTAGAATTGACTAGATGTTACTGTTTTGCAATCTATTTTCGCCACGTGAACTAGAGCTTTTTTCTAATGCAGCTTCATACAAGAGAATCCCCAATGACGAATGTATAAAACAGTGCTAGCGCGCCCTCTACTGGCATCATGTAATTTGACACTCGACTAGTTAACCCTTTAGTGACAGCATATTCTATATGGGTTACAATTTTTTTAAATGACAAGTAACTCCTCAAATTGTAATTATGAGGGTTACAATGGAGCACTGCACACTCAAATGCTCGGTTGTTTTAAACCAATTTAGGGTCAAATATGGACAAACCCAGCTGTTGGATTGAATTTATTAATTGCATTTTTAAATCCAACATTTGTCCATATTTGACCCAAAATTGGCTTAAAACAACCCAGCATTTTTTTAGAGTGTGGTTATTTATGGACTTAGCATTCAATCGGTCTGCTATTGTTTGCCAGGCATTCTCTCTTTGTTTTATTACAGCATCTGTATTGGCTTACATATTATATGTTTCATTATATGTTTCACTTCTTCATACGTTTCCATAAGAAGCTGTTGCTCATTAGGTGAAAAGTATGCCGCACGCGTTTTGTCCATTTTTGGATCGGTGATTCTGTGATCGATTTCGCGCTCTTTTTAAGAATGCCGTGAACGTGCATTTATCCAAACTATATACACCTGGCTTGACATAGCCGCGCGTTCTCATCCTGGCTCAGCAAACGTGCAACGGATTAAGCCAGGATGCACTGATCAGACTAGGTCAAACCGCGACTGTTCAGATATCCTGGCTTTCTTAATTCTACTTTTGTGCAATACTCTGGTGAGAACTATTTAGCATCAACGTGTGGGCAGTGGCACTGCAACAGTTAGCCTTAAATGGCCTCAGATAAGTCCGAGGTTTTGGGGGGCTACGTGATAAATCATGTACAATACCTGCTACCGATGCCCAGAAATAGATTTAAATAGTGCATTGTGTTTAATTTGATGTTTAGACACAGTTGTACCAGTTACTTTGACTGTTTTTCCTCAGACAACTGCAGAAACAGCGGGTAACTTCACAAAATGAATCTTTTTGATTCATTGACAAGATCATTCAAAAAAGCAGTCGCCTATTGAATTAATCGACGTATAATGATTTTAATTGCACGTTGTTATTATTCTAGTTATTTACCTATACTATCATTTAATGTATCAGAAATCTCGCACATTTACTGAAAAAATAAATAAATAAATAAATAAGTGTGAAGAAAACACGTGAAGAAAAAAAATACAAACAAGCTGAAAGCCCAGTGACTTGACATCTCTTTACCAATCTAATTTGAGTTAGCCCTAACTGTTCCATAAGCTTGCTTTTAGAAAACTAAGAATTAATACTTTGTAAAGGGTATCTTTGCCAAAACTCCCAAAAAGACAGTTGGGAGTTTTGGTTTTTGCTGGCTCCTATTTTTTTAAATGTATTGCCTACTGTAGAACCAGTTAAAGCTGTAACTTCCTTCTCTATAACATCTGAATTTGACAACTCAACAAGATTTACAGAAAAAAAAAAAAAAAATCTCAGACGAAACAAATTTGGATAGTTTTTATTTGATACTTTCCAAGACATACAGACAAGACATATTTTCTTTCCAGTGTTTTGACAGTTGCCATTTAGAGTTCCAATTTCATTCAGCAATCTTTGTAGCTTCAGCTCACCCAGAGAGGATGTGCTTGATGAAGGACGTGTAGTTAATGCAGCCGTTGGCGTCTTCTTGTCCGGCCATCAGACGGTCCACCTCATCTTCTGTCATTTTCTCCCCAAGTGTTGCCAAGACATGACGGAGCTCAGCACCCATCACTGTTCCATTTCCTTCTTTGTCAAAGACTCTCAGACCCTCAACAAAGTCCTCAAATGTCCCCTGGTCTTTGGCTCTTGAGATATGCTGCAGCATGGGCAGAAATGTCTCAAAGTCCAGATATTTGCTGTTCATATCTTCAGCCTTGGGCTTCCCCAGCACGGTCAGCACGTCAGCATTGGTAGGGTTGTGACCCAGGGCCCTCATCACGTCTCCACACTGGGAATACCTTATCTTCATCTCACCCGTTGGTGTCTCATCAAAAAGAGTAAAAGCATCCTTGAACTCTTCGATCTGGTCAGCGGTAAATTCCAGCGGGAGACTCTTCAGGTCCAGCTCGGGCTCTTTGGGTGTCTCTGGAACCGGGGCAGGAGCTGGGGCTTCTTCTTTCTTCGGCTCTGTTTTTTTAGGCTCTGGTTTCTTGGGTTCAACTTTTTTCGGTGCCATAATGCCGATGCTGAGAGTGGAGATGGGAAAAGCTGGGAAATGTGTTGTAAGAGCCCCTGTTGGGTTTTTATACTGACATGTCAGAGAGTGTGATAAGGCTTATCAGAACTGGAATAGTGGCAGACTATATAAGGAAATGAACTGGGTTAGGGTTAGTGTTACTCATATCTTGTTGAAATGCTTTTGTCCTGTAGATAAGACCAGACCAACCACCCCTTTACCCCAGTAAAATTAACGAATTCCTTAAATGTTTTTAAATAGAACAGAAAAAAAATATTTTAGCTTACAAATTGTTCACCTAAAAATAATATTTGTTTATTCATATATATATATATATATATATGATGACAAATTTTTAAATATTTTAAACATTTAAAATATCCCTTTAACTAGATCAACCAAAAAGATTAGTCTAAAAATTATTTTTTGCTTCTTCTTTCACAATCATGCCAAAGACAGGGTGAATGTCAAGTTTTTCCAGGTAACACAAACTTAAAAGCTATCCAACCTATTAAATGATAACATAGTTTTCATTTGTGGGTGAACTAACTGGGTAATCAAACAGTTTTGGTCTGATCATTGACATCAATTGTATGGAATAAAAGCAGTTCGACATCTCTCAAAATATCTTCTATTCTTCCAAGATAGTGTGCACAATACAAACATTTTAAAAACAAACGAATAAAAACTCTATTTTAAAGGAGCATTGTAGTCTCATCCCCATTCTAGAGGAGAAGTTCAAGAAATTTGAGAGTAGAGAAACATACAAAGGTTTTAGTGTTCATTGATATAATTCTGTTCTGGCTATGTAACATGAAGAACAACATTCAAAACAAAGTGCATTTATGTCATATGTGATGCATAATTCAAAGTTGTACATTTCAAACCTTAAGCATATATTTGAGCATGGAAGAATCTCCAACTCATGCCACTAAGAGCTGCAAGAAATTTGCCAGACAGGTGATAAGCTTGAATCTATTCTGAGCGCCAGCACATACCATCACTCCGTCACAGTGATGCTGTTCATAACACAGTATTTTAAGCACACTAAAGATACAACTTTAAGTCTAGTTTAAAGCGTACTCAAAGCAAACTTTTTTCCAAACATTTTTTTAAAGAAACATTTTTTCTTTATTAATCAATTTTACAAAACTTAAAAATTCAAAATATTAATTTGTTAAAATGGAATAAGAAAGTATTTTTGTAAATGGCTATGACATAACTTTCCAACCAGTGAGGATAAATGAACAAATGATTTTTAAAGAATAAAAGTCTGCCATCTAGTGGCTTAAATGTTGTTTCATTTTTTTAGCCAGAAATGTCCATCTACATAGCAAAGTGAGTGTAGAGATTGTATCGCTATTAAATGATACTTAACTTTACCACTTGTTAGTCTACTATGAATCATCTTTCAATAAGCATGTTTCTATTCTCCTCTGTATTTAAAGTGACAGCGTTTTGGCACTTGGTCAAGGTCTGCCAACAAGGGCAGAATGTCTATATTCACAGAGGTCCCACTGTGAGATTGTGGCACAGCTGGATTGAACATCTATTAATGAGAACACAGCCTGAGGACATGTTTGTTGCATCTCTATTATTTTTTTTATCCAGTGCGTTCATAATGTGGTGTAAGATGAAACCATGTCCTCAGAACAGCAGAAACACTGTATTAATCAGTTGTAATTTAATCCATTTTAATGCTTGTTGTAGTACAAATAGGTGAGGTAATTTGTTTGAAAACAGTTGATGTTGTTGCATTTGACATTGATACTGAATTTTACTTTGGTGCATTTTTTATCAACTCTTTATTTCTGGCTTGACCTCTAAATATACATTAATAAAATCAGGTCAAAACAACAAAGGTCTCTGCTTTAAAGGCATTACTGCAAAAGATGTACGGAGAAAATTCACAGTGAAGTACAAATAGAGGCAACAAAATAAGTGTAAGTGTCCCTTTTCACTGATCCTGACCCTCGAGATAATTGATGAAATATAGTGGAAAATGTTTAAATTACATTTAGGATTAATAGGAGCAACTGTGGGTTTAGATGTGTAGACGTCCCTCTAAAGATCCTCAGTACTGCTCTGCAGGAAGAAAATAACTTTTATGAAGCAAAAGCAAAAATTTTAAAACACAAATTGTAGAATATGTGTAACTTTCATTCAAAACCTACTGTATTCGTGTCACTAGGGAACAATCTTTCCTCTACAATGGCACAAATATCTGTGAAAATATCGTCTTCTTCTCGATCCGCATCGACCTGACCAAGCAGAGTGAGAAAGAATTGTGTTTCACAGCCTTACACTGGAAACTATTATTTTCATTAAATAAGCACTTGTAATCAGAACAGTTTGTGCTTTCAAAACCAGCTGAATTCAACAGTTAAAGGATTAGTTCACTTTTGAAAAAACTTTTGCTGATATTTACTCACCCCCATGTCATCCAAGATGTCCATGTCTTTCTTTCCTCAGTCGAAAAGAAATTAAGGTTTTTGATGAAAACATTCCACGATTTTTCTCCATATAATGGACTTCATTATGCAGCTTCAAATGTCTTTAAACGACACCAGACGAAGAATAAGGGCCTTATCATGCGAAACGATCGGTTATTTCAAAACTTAATCCAAAAATGTAACTTTTCTAAGGACAAATGCTAGCCTTGCTCTATTCTGTGAGGCGCGTTTGCAACGTCACGTAATACGTAATTACGTTCAAAAGGTCACGGGCGACGTAGCCGGAAGTACAGAATCAAAATCGTCCGACATCGTTGTTTTACCTTTTAATTCCTTTTTTGTAAACGCCGTTTGAGTTAGTTTGCACGTTCAACCTATGCGTTCAACTTGTAAACACTCTGACTCTGTACTTCTGGCTACGTCGCCCGTGACCTTTTGAACGTAATTACGTATTACGTGACGTTACAAACGCGCCTCACAGAATAGAGCAAGGCTAGCATTTGTCCTTAGAAAAGTTACATTTTTGGAATAAGTTTTGAAATAACCGATCGTTTCGCATGATAAGACCCTTATTCATCGTCTGGTGTCGTTTAAATACATTTGAAGCTGCATCTGAAACTGTTATTAACTGTTGTTTGGACCTCGGACCGTCTGGTTCCCATGTAAGTCCATTATATGGAGAAAAATCCTGGAATGTTTTTATCAAAAATCTTAATTTCTTTTCGAATGAGGAAAGAAAGACATGGACATCTTGGATGACATGGGGGTGAGTAAATTATCAGCAAAAGTTTTTTCAAAAGTGAACATAAAAAAGGAAAAGAACAGCATCTTACCCTTACAATAAGTCCTCTCTCCTGGTAGTACTTGGCTATGAGTGTGATATTGTGTTTGAAGGTATCTAGTCTCTTCTCAATTGCACGAGTATTGTCATCGGGGCGGCCCTGCTGGGATGCTCTTTTCTCTAAACGCTGCCGGAGTTGCTGATTAGAGCAGGCAAGCAAGATCACCAAGTCTGGAGAGCCAATCTGAGGAACCATGAGTGTCATTTACTGTACATCAGACATTGCCATAACATACTAAGACATGTATTACACAGGTTATATACTGTATAGATCCTGTAGGCCACTGTCCTGCAGAGTTTAGCTCCAACCCCATTTATACACACCTGAACTAGCAAATCAAGGTCTTATTTGGCATACTAGAAACTTCTAGGCAGGTGTATTGAGGCAACCATGAGAAAACTCTGCAGGACAGTGTACCTCCAAGAGCAGGTTTGTACTCCCTTGGTATAGACCATCTGAAGGAATATCTGACCTGCTCCTCAAAGGTGAACGTCTGTGAGATCTCTCTGGGGAATCCATCCACAATGAATCCTTTAGCATCCTGTTTCTTGATAAACTGTTGTTTTAGCTCTTCAATAGTCGTCTCCTAAAGGATATAATGTCAGAACAAGACTAGCATGAGATGACATTCCATGATCAGTGATAATTACAATTTAAAATAACTGTTTTTTATTTCAATATATTTTATAATGTAATTTATTCCTGTGATGGAAAAGCGTCTCGGTTACGGAGACGTTCCATCAGATGATGACAAATGGGGTTTCGCTTAGAAAGCCTATCGACTTTGACTATTACAAAATGAGCCAATGGCAAAGAAATGCCATGGGTCTGCGGAATTACAATGCAAGGCAAACCGATCTATCTGTGCGCCCCCAAACTGGTCCCAAACCCTTGAGCAACACCCGGAAGCGGTGCAGAGCAAGATGTACTGCCAGCAACCCAAGGCAATTGACATGCCATAGGCGGTGGGGTCCTGTCCAGCATGTCCATTGCACATGGCGCCCCAGCCCGGGGTGGAGGCATCTGTTGAGACAACAACATGCCGGGAAGCTCGTTACAGGGCCACTCCAGCCCGTAGAAAACTGAGGTTCGACCTCAGGGTGAAGGTCTGATGGCAGGTCGGAGTAACTGCTACTCGGGGCATGCCGTGTTGCCATGCCCATCTCAGGGTCAGACAAGTCTGGTAGCCACAGCCTGCTTCTGGGCAGCAGAGAACTGTTGGGCAGAGCCGAAGAGGCCAGCCTGGGATATGGGGGTGTGGAGGCAATGGGTTCACTCAGCCTTGCGCATATCAACCAGGTTAAGCCAGAGATGTCTGACCATGCATGTGGACATCACCTGACTCAGGGAGCGTGCGGTCACCTTCGACGCTTGTAGAGCAAGGTTGGTGATGGCAGGCAGCTCTTGGATGAGCCCTGAATTAGCCCTACCCTCATCCATGTCATTGAGCTCCCAGAAGGATGGCAATAACATGCAGTGAGGCAGTAGCCTGCTTCGCAGCTTTATAGGTCCTTGTCACCAGAGTAGACAAAAAACCTACAGGGATTGGATGGGTGCTTAGGGTCGCCATGCCAGGTGGAGGCACTGTGGGGACACAGATGTGTTACCACAGAACACTCCACGGGGGAACCCCAGTGAACCCTTGGCCGCGGCCTCTGCGAGGGAAGAGAAGAGAGAAGAGGCAGCTGAGCAGTCGCGAAATGTCAATGGAGACTCCCAAAACCTCAGGACCTCTTCATGCACGTCTGGGTAGAAAGGATTTGGGTTTGCCTTCCCCAAAAACCAATCGTCAGCCTTAAGTGCTTAGGACATGGCGGATGGTTCCACACAAGCCCGATACTCACGGCGGTCCAGGAAAGCATAGCTGTCAATTCTGGATCAGACTCATTATGCTAGCACATCCGAGGATGGCAGCACAGACGAGCCATCATCTCCAAAGGACTCTAGCTCACCTTGTGATGCGGCGATATACAGTACATGATTTCATCAGCCGGGGGACCAAATGAGACTGTGGGTGGGCCAGCGAACTCACTCGGGACACAGCGGGTTGCAATGTGAAAGACAGGGTGTGGACCGAGGATTTTAGGTTGGTTTAGTTCCAGACCTGCCGTTTTAGGTCACCCTGGCCACCAGCCAAAGAATTATCTCACGTGGAGAAAAATAGATCGGGGCGTGGATGAGGGGACTCTCACTCTATTGAGCTCATCGAGTCTCGACCGTTACATTGCGATGGTCACGTTCCCGCTGGGAGAACGTGACACATCAACAAGCGCTGTCTGAGCACAAACGAAGCCCAAACATATCAAACAGCACTCGCACCCATCAGCTGAATCTATCAAAATACCGCACTCAGTAATACAAGGATAGATCTTTAGAAAGACATGCCACGCGCATGCTCTTTTTGAGAGAGAAAAGCTTGAAGTAGTGCTGAAAAAAAAAAAAAAAATCTGCATCTTGCCAGCATCCTCCTTTATACCCACGAGGTGGGGCGGAGTTGTGCCATACAATACAATGGGCTTTCTAAGTGAAACCACATTTGTCGGCATCTGATGAAACTCGGAGTGACAACGAAAGGAAACGAATCGGTTACCTAAAGTAACCTCGGTTCTCTCTAGATGAGGGAACGAGTATTGCCTAAGCTAGCTTACGGTACGGGAAAGATTCATCTTTTCTGAGAAGTTGAAGCCAAAAAATTTTTCCATAATTTGTATCCATTATCAACTCAGTTCCTTTGCAGCAGACCATGAGCGGGCTAGCTGGCAGCTCATTGGTTCGCTCACAGAGAACTGCTTAAGCCTATGGGAGAGCAGGGCTGAGCCCGCGACCAATGAGAAGCAGGCACGCTCTCATTGCGTCAGAGCCCGCCAGAATGGGCGTGGCTATAGAGTATAAAATGAGCTCTCGTATGCTTATTAAGTTGATTTCTTCAGAGTGAAGCGAAAACGCTAGTAGCTCAAACACGGCCGGGAACGCAATACTCGTTCTCTCATCTAGAGAGAACCGAGGTTACGTTAGGTAACCGAAATCAGGGCTCATTCCAGGAATCAGGGGGTTCATCCCGCAGCCACGCAAATGTCATGAATGGAAATTCTGCAGGACCATGCCCACGAAGAGGCCATGACTCTAGTGGAATGAGCCCTGATGCCCAGAGGGCAAGGCATGTTTTTAGATGCGTAAACAGAGGCAATAGCGTCCACTATCCACTGTTTTGAGGCGACCAGTCCCTTCGCTCACTATCGGATGTGGGCAGAGCCGATAGAGAAATGATCTGAGCCCTGAATGGGGTATCAATCGCTTTAGGGACATAGCCATGCCTAGGTTTGAGAATGACAACAGAGTCATTAGGTCCAAACTCAAGACACGCAGCGCTAGAAGAGAGCGCGTGAAGGTCCCCCACACGTTTTACTGAAGACAGTGCAATAAAAAAAAAAAACGTTTTGAGCGAGAGATATTTGAGGTCCACGGACTTGAGCTGTTCGAACGGGGGGCTTTCATAGCTTCGAGAACTGTAGAAAGATCCCAAATAGGAACCGAGGGGGGGCGCGGAGGGTTCATCCTTCTAGCTCCCCTGAGGAAGCGGATGATTAATTCATCTTTGCCCAGAGACTGAGCGCGTCGGGGTTCAGGGAACGCTGCGACAGCTGCAGCGTAAACCTTGAGGGTGGATGGAGACGTGCCCTTATCCAGCATCTCTTGTAGGAAGACGACCAAAGACGACACCTCACATGACCGTGGGTCCAGATTTTTGTCGGTGCACCATTTGGAGAACACAGACCATTTAGACAGAGATGGCTTCCTTTTAGAAGCCGCTCTGGCGTGCATGATCGTGTTTAAAACTACTTCTGGCAAATCAGCGAGTAGTCGTTGATCACCCATGCATGCATCTCCCAGCGCTGTGGGTGGGGATGCCAGATTGTGCCGTAAGCTTGAGAGAGGAGATCTGCTCTGACTGGAATGGGCCACGAGGCTGTCTGTGACAGCTGAGTGAGCTCCGGGAACCAAGTCTGACTCTCCCAACACGGGGCTATGAGGAGCACTGAGTGGTGTGTGTCCCTGATCTTCTGAATCACCTGTGGTAGCAGAGAGATCAGAGGGAATGCATAGAGTGGGCGGCGGGGCCAGTCCTGGGCTAGCGCGTCCTCTGGCTGGCCGTTCAGCTGGCCCGGCACGTGCGTCGCTCTGAGCAAAAGCAGGCAGCTCTGGGACCAAACTAGAATGTGGTGTGTCAGCAGGAAGAGATTCCTGGATCTAGAGCCGCGAGCATTTCCAGACAAATTATCGCACCACAACCCGTGTTGGATGCGTCTGTCGAAATCACTTTTCGGCGGGAGAAGGTCCCCATGGTGACGCCCCGCTGAAACCAATCTGCCACTGTCCATGGCTGTAATGCCGTGAGACATGTCTGCGTAATCTTGATCAGCTGGCGGCCTGTGATCCACGGTGAGACACGCAACTCTTGTTCCCAGCTGAAGCACAGCGGAGGCTGAGGCCATATAACCCAACATCTTCTGAAAAGATTTCTAGGAGTGCGGGTGCCCATCCGAAATGAAGCGGCTAGTCGCTGAACACTGCACGTGCTGTGTAGATAAGCGAGCCGTCATAGTGACCGAGTTCTAATCTATCCCCAGGAAGGAAATAGTCTGACTGGGTTGAAGGGAGCTCTTTGTCTAGTTGAAAGAAAGACCTAACGTTTTCAGATGGTCTAGGAGAAATGCGCGATGCGACAGAAGCTCTGTCTGAGATTGTGCCAAATCAGCCAGTCATCCAGATAGTTAATTTACGCAGCCCCTGACAGCGCAGGGGGTCGAGCACTGTATTCATGCACTTCGTGAAGTTACGGTGCGCTAGAGATAGGCTGAACAGGAGAACAGCGTATTGATAAACTTGACCCTCGAAGGCGAAACGTAAGAACGGGGATTTATCTGGATCTGAAAATAGGCGTCTTTCAGGTCTAGAGAGATGAACCAGTCCCCCTGGCGCATGTGCGCGAGGAGTTTCTTGACCGTAAGCATTTTGGACGGTCTCCTCATGAGCGCTTTGTTCAAAAACCTGAGATCTAAGATCGGCCTGAGGCCGCTGTCTTTCTTGGGAACAAGAAAATAACGGGCGTAAAACCCCGACTCGGTCATAGATGGCGGAACTCTCTCTATGGCGCCTTTTTGCAACAGCTTCGCTATCTCTGAGCAGAGCGTGTTGATAGCCACTGGGCTGGCAGTGGTCTCGAGCCGAGCGCGGAAGCACGGGACATGTGGTGTTTGTCTGTATGAGTGAACACATGCTTGTGGGCACATTTTTTACACAAGAGACATTTTTGCTCTTTTTGAGATTTCTCTCTGTAGCCGTGAGAACGGCTTTTTGACGTTTGCAAGCGGGCAGGGACACCGGCTTGTTTGTGGTGGTGAACACTTCTGTAGTCTGCGGAAGAACAGGGACTAGCAGAGGGCGAAGTTTTGACAGCGGTCCGGCCGCGGCGAGAGCCGTCTTTTTCTCAGCTGTGCTGGGCAGACTTCGGTTGATCAGGCTTCAGCGTGATCTTGGGTCGAGGCCCTCAGGGAGGCGGCTGTCTGCTGCGGCTGTCAGAGCGAGAACGAGGGCGGCCGCACTGTCAGTGCAGGGAGGATTAAGCCTACTGAGAAGGGCGCTGGGGTGAGGCTCTAGCAGGGGGCTGGTCACGAGAGCAGTCTGCAGAAGAGCTAGCGCAGCGGGGCAGAAACAGTTCCATGGCCTGGGTGGCTTTTTGAACTTCGGAGAAACGTCGGAGCGGTTTCTGGCCGAGAGCGGGGCAATCCAGGACTTCGTGAGCTCAGCATGAAGTTCAGGCAGGAATGGGGCGGCCCTGTTACAGGGAGTTCAGGCAGGAATGGGGCGGCCCTGTTACAGGAGCAGAGCGCCGATGAAAATAGCTGTCGTCCATCCGGTTCGGGGCTTGCTCGGGTGGCGGCGGCCACTCGAGACCGAGGCATTGGACGGCTTGAGAGAGGAGGCGCATGAGTTCTTCCTCGATTCCGGCACGGGTCCCTGCAGACTCTCTCGCAGAAGAACCGAGAGAGGACCATTCTTCACTGTCAGAAGCGAGCAGTGAACAGGAATCCTTCTCCTCCGCGGCGTCGTCGGAGGCGACAGAGCGGCCACTCTGCGGCAACTGCATGTCCGGCTGGGGCGGGGAGGGAGAGCGGGAGGCGGTGGCGTCCCGCTTGGATCCGCAGGGGCTCCGGCGGCCTCTGGGAGCGGCGTTTATTTTTCCAGCGGCGGGGAAGCGGTTTTGACGGCCTGAAGTCGTGCCCGCAGGGAAGACAACAGCACGTCCTTGCAGTGGTCGCATCCTCCATCAGCGAGGGCGAGCTCTGCGTGCTCCAGTCCGAGGCAGAGGGCGCAGATGACATGGCGATCTCTGTCCTTGAGAGGAGCGCTGCATGAACCGCAGAAATTACGAGGCATCTTTAAAAAGACGCTCGTGCTCTTTTAGTGGTAGAGTGAAAAGGATACACGTCGTCGGATGACGCTAGCTCGCAGGGCGGCTGAAGGTGGCAGACGGCCGGCTTCTTCAGTCTCCGGTAGCTCGCTAGAAGGTGTCTTCTCACAGCGGAAGCGTATAGCTTGCTGAAGGATGAAATAATCAACTTGATAAGCCTACGAGAGCTCCTTTTATACTCTCTAGCCACGCCCATTCTGGCGGGCTCTGACGCAATGAGAGCGTGCCTGCTTCTCATTGGTCGCGGGCTCATCCCTGCTCTCCCATAGGCTTAAGCGGTTCTCTGTGAGCGAACCAATGAGCTTCTAGCTAACCCCCTCATGGTCTGCTGCAAAGAAACTGCGTTGACACTGAATACAAATTATGGAATCATTTTTTTGGCTTCAACTTCTCAGAAAAGATTAATCTTTCCCATAGCGTAAGCTTGGGAAATCTTTCCCATAGCGTATAGCTTATGCAATACGAGAGAACCTCTCGCAAGAGAACTATTTTTTTTAGCACCAATCATTCCAGTCTTAAGTGTCACATGATCCTTCAGTAATCATTCTAATATGCTGATTTGGTGCTGAAGAAACATGCATTACTAATATTAATGTTGAAAACAGGTGTGCTGCTGCATACATATTTATTTGAAATATAAAACTTTTGTAACATTATAAATGCCTTTACTTTTATTTTTACACATTATTTTTTAAATATTACTCATCCAAATTTTTGGAATGGTAGTTTATGTAAAAATTAACATTGATGATCAAAGCAGTTTTGAATACACCATAGCTGCAAATATTCACATTGTTTGGTGGTCACATTTCCAAACCTGAGGTGCCAGTTCTCCATTTGCAATGATCTGAGCAATCAGCTCCCATTTCCTGTCACTGGGGGCATGATGCAGTAACTGGTTCCTTAAAATTTCCCCTACAGACACATGCTCGAAATCATAGCGATGTGCAATTTTAGTTGTCTGAGTGCCCTTGCCACTGCCGGGTCCACCTGGAAAATATTAGAGCAAATCCCACTTTACATCACAGAAACACAATGTTAATTTCAAATTAATTAATGTCAAGGTCTAGTGAATTTTATTTAATCCAGCTCATAGAGTTGAAATTTAGAATGAGATGAATTCAGAAAAAGATTACTGAACCAGACCGAAAATGGGAAATGACCAGTTGGCAGTGATGATCACTCACCTATGATGAATATTATGTGCGGTCGTGGTTTAGATGGGTCAAAGACATCATACTCTTGTATGAGCCCTGAGGACTCAGTCATATCTGAGTCACTTTCTATGGAGAACTGGGCTTGGATTGGTGGCAGCCTGTCATATCGACGGTAAGGCCCGGGACCAGGACCAGGACCACTGTCTGTGGAGTGAAACAGATTACATTCATCAGTTCTATATGACCTCAGATTCATTCTTAAGGCCAATAAACACCACACCAACAAATGCAGACAGACAGCAGCACACACTTTGTCAGGTTTTGTCAGATCAGTATGTTACCTCTGTCGTAGTCTGTCGCCGATTCAAACACTGCGTTTTTTGGGTCTTGCAATGTCGGAGAAATTACTTACTGCACAGATTTTCATGATTGATAGGTGTCTGTTGTAACTTGGTACAGTGTGAATTGGCCTTTAATTCACTCATTTGATAAGAATCCACACATACTGTATTTTTAGACGTTAATTATCGAGATATTTGGGTAATTTTAACACTTGACCATTTTTATTCTTCCTAAATGTCTGTGCAATATTTTCATTTTCTATCCTTCAGATTTAAATCCCTGAATAATGGTTACTTAACTGCTGGCTTTTTATCTAGATAATGTGGATATTTTTGTGATTTAAAGAGAAAGGTAAAAAACAAACAAGTAATGCATTAATAAACAAAACAATTTAACAAAAAAAAAAAGTTCAATGAATAATTCAGTAAAATGAAAGAACTGCTAAAAAAGTCAATAAAACTAAAATGCGAGAGTCATTTTAAAGTATATCCATCATGTGTATCCATCATGTACACAACTAAATGTTTTATTTCAAGCTAAGATTAGATTTTCTAGCTGAAATACCGAGTTTGCAGGGGGCTTTCTTCCCCTGTGCTGGGGTAATTGGTGGTAGAGGTTTTCGATCAGGTGTAATGAAAGTGTCCCAGACCACACATTCAGGACCGCCGAGGTCACGCGTTTTCTGCAGGCAACTCTCCAAGAATGCCAAAGGGTCCTCAGGCCTGTGGTACATCAGCCCTGTTAACATGCTCTGTGAGATAGAGTTCACACATCAACATGCTCTGTGAGATAGAGTTCATACACATAGAGTTCATATCATTTTGTTATATGAAATGCTTAATTCATACGAGTGGTTCACAAATATGAATCTGTATTTCTTGTAAAGTGTACAATTCAAATCTATTTGTGTAAATGAGTTCTTTCATTTGGCCTTTGAGATATCAATCAGAGTCTTTCCTTGAGTCTTTCTTTCTCACCTAAAATAAGTATGAGCACATTTTTAATTTATTTGCCAAATTCAGCTAAACGATTTCTGGATGGAAAGACAGAGGGAAACAATGAATAACAATCTCGGTGGGAGAAAATAATAATTGCAAATTGTTGTTCTATTCATCCCAAACGTGTTAGCAGTCCGTAAACCGGACCATTCAGAGGGACAGGAAATGGAAATCGGAGCTCTAAATAATCAGCTGTTTGCTTCTTTTGATGCAAATAAAATTACTTGTAAATTTACATCTCAATCCTCATGGGTATCAAACGGCTAAAGACACATTCAACTGCTGAATAAAGGAGCAGTGTCTAAGCAGAAACAAAACAAAAGGCTGAATTTGCAAAAGGTATCCGTTTAATAATAGACCGCAGCATTTTTAAGGACTAATGCAGTATCCATATGGATAATAAGCATTACAAACAAACAAAGCTTCACTGTAAAAAGTAGCAACCTGCAATTGTCACCTTAATGTATAAACTTTTAGTTAAAAAAAAAAAAAAACAGGGTTAAAATTAATTAATTTATTTTAGGTAAAATACATCATACTATTGAGGAATGTTATTTGTATAACTTGTATTTGTAAAACTTTAGTTACATAATTGAAATATCAGCCAACTTATTATTGGGAGATATTGTCACGGAATCGTCAGCACCAGACCTCCACACCTCGCCCACTCGTTCCGCATCCCTTGAATATTGCTCACTGTAGAAGATTCGATTATTTAGAAAACAAGTAACTTGGCTATATAAGAAACCACATTTAGTTCCTGAAACTTTGGGTCTGACAATTAGAAGCCCAATGCTGATACACCAGAATACTATTTCAGTATGTCACATGGTACAATGTATTTTTAAAACTATCTATAGGGTGTCTGACCTTCTATGGAAGAGGATGTATGTATATAACTCTGAAAACAAAAGACTCGAGAGCGCAATAGGGCCGGAGGGCCAGCAGGCCAGAGCGTTAGAGCAACTATGCTGCAGAAGTTGCTCGGCTTTGTTTGTGAATAAAGTCTAATATTTCTGGCATTAGAGATCTCTGTGAAGTTATTTAAAAAGACAGGAACCACTTCATCACCTGCACTGTCTTTATCACCTGCTTGCAATCTGGACTCTCTTCACTCACACATTAAAGGGTTAGTTCACCCCCAAATGAAAATTCTGTCAGTAATTACTCAATCTCAAGTTATTCCAACCCCATAAGACTTTTGTTCATCTTCGGGAACACAAATTGAGATATGTTTGATTAAATCTGAGAGCTGGATCACTCATCCATAGGCTTCTTTAACGGATCGAAATTGGCTGGCCCATAAAAGTTAAAGACATTGTTAAAATAGTCCAAATGACAACAGTGGCTCAATCTTAAGTTTATCAAGCGACGAGAATACTTTTTTGTTTTTTTACGATGACGTCATTGGTCTAGAAAAACTCATACAACGTTCCATTCGAGTAGACCAAAATTACACCGCCTGCCAGCTTGATAGCAGATTTCTATAGAGCCTTCCAGGCGAAAACCTGGCTAAAACATGGAAACATGCCTTAAAATGTAGCGAAAAAACATCCAATCTGGCAACACCAGCCACCAGTGTCGCACCGCGGCCATTTACATTTAATTGTAAATTTGAACGGCCTTGCAAAAAAAAAAAAAAAAAAAAAAAAAAAAAAAATCGAATTTTTTCAAAAAATCGGAATTGAGCATTAAGCCCTGCAGTGTGAACGTAGCCATATTGCCATGACCACAGGACTGCTGGAGCCGCTACCTACCCTGGGCCGAGTATGCACAGAACTCTCTCCAGCAATCCACCACGGGCCTCACGCCCTTTCAGGGCATACTCGGCTTCCAGACGCCCTTGTTTCACTGGTCAGGAGAGCCATCCGAAGTTCCAGCAGTTCATCATTGGATCCAGGAGAGTGAGGGGGTCTGGGACTCAGCACACATTTATCTGCAGAGGACTGTTCGTAGACACAAGAGCCAGGCCGACACAAGAAGATCTGCGACCCCTTTATACCAACCTGCGCAAATGGTCTATCTACCAGTGAAATCCGTCTCCAATAGCCCTGCCGCAAGCTGAGCCCCAGGTACATCGGCCCATTCGCTATACAGAGGCAGATCGACGAAGTCACCTCTGACTCCTTCCTCCACAGGGTCTGGTGCTGATTGGTGTCTGGTGGGTTGGGTACTGTCACAGACACACAATCATCAGCACCAGACCTCCACACTCCGCCCACTTGTTCTGAATCCCCCGAATAATGATGAACACCTGCACCTGTCTTCATCACCTGCTTGCAATCTGCACTCACTTCACCTTAACCTTAAATACACCACCAGTTCCCTCAGTTCAACGTCTGGTCTCATCGACATGCCATTGACTTCCTGACTCTCTGCATTAAAGACGATCCCCAAGTCTTGAATCCACTTTACCTGCTTCGAATACTTACCTGCTCTCTTGAGATCCAGATCTACTTTCTGGTCCATCTGTCTGCAAACCTATCTGATCTTCTGCCTCGATCCTCGCCATCCTGCCTGTAACAGACAAGAGACCCGCTCATATTCTGTTCATCCAGTTCACATCCATTAATTCCTTCATTTCAATTTACCTGCCGTGACTGTTCCTAAGTGCTATTAAATAAATATCCTGTTGAACTTTACCTGTTTTTGTCCTTCTGATCTGTGACAGAGTGGAAACTGATATTTACTGATATATCCATGTTAAAGGAGAACTATATCCTTTCTCCTTCAAAGGGGGAGTTCACTTCTTTCATTTTAAATAGTGTGTAATGTTGCTGTTGGTGCATGAACAGTATCTGCAAAGTAGCGGCGCTGAAAGTTCAATGTAAGCAGAGATATCTTCTATGTCTTTTAAAAATCAGGAAGTATATTGCCTACAAAAACGACTCGATTGGGACTACAGCTGGGTTTTAGACGTCACTAACCCACACATTTGCATCAACCCTCCCTCCGGAATATGCAAAAAAGGGCATGATCATATTTCTGCGGTACATTGAGTGTGTTATGTTCACCCAGCTGTCAGGTCTTCTGTGATCGAGCTTCCCACGGATGCTGTACTTCGTCAACAATGGATACAATTTATGTTTGATTATGTTCCTGAAAATCACGATCGTAATTTAGCTCTCTGTGCAGCGTATTTTACGGAAGACAGCTTCCAGAATCTCCACGAGTTCAATGCCGGATTCAACAAGAAACTGTTACTAAAACATGAACCAGTTCCAACTTTAAAACCAGAGGCAGCAGTTGTTGGGCCACAACCTGTAAGTAGGCTAAGACTTCATCATTTTAAATGTATTTGCATGTATAATTCCAGAAGTAGCCTTGTGTTTTATTTTTTCAAATGCCAGCACTGGCTTTATAGCCACTGGGCTACTAGTTATGCTGTTTTGTGTCTACAACAAACACGTACAAACATTATGGATTTTGTATAAGTACTAGGGATGGGCATTCGATTACATTTTATTAGTCGATCGTCGGAAGGATTAACGATCGACTATCGATTAATCGTTAATATTTTTACATTCAAATGTATTATTTATTTAACTTTTTATAAATTAAAAATGCAATGAAAATACAAAAATACAGCGTGTTTTTCCTCGATTAGATCTTTATTATAAGATGATCAACTTGTGGCAGTTAAACTGGGCATTCGGTTAGGCTAAATGTGAAGATATGCGCGGCGGTGCTCTAACGCAACTGAACCTGCAGCTGCGAGTTGGCCCTCGTGAGACCCTCGTTTGTTCCAAAATAATAGATAATAAAAAAATAAAAATAACTTAACCAAAAGCATAATAATATTAAGATCTGACAGGATTTGTCAAAACGTAACTGAACTATCCAAGGCACGGAGTCGGGAAAGGGTGAGAGAGATTAGCCTAACAATCAGACTGCGCGCGCACCTCCCCCAAACGGACGAGGTGTTTATACTCGACGCGCTGACGTGACTGTGAAACACCGAATACCGCAATGTCGTCATTTTTGCCGCGCGCACCTTCATGCTCGTGCTGACGCATCAAATGTAAACAAATGCTTCAGTCCAGCCGCTGAAAACAACTCTCTGATGAGGGGACTGGCGTTGCCGGCGGGATGCACAGGTACCTCAGCGCTAACATCACCAGCCCGGGCCATCACTTTCTACTCACACTACGCAACGCAGCAGCATTAGTTTAATGATAATCGATAACAAATTAATGTGATCGACGAAATTCTTAATGATCAATAATCGATCGTCGATTAATCATGCCCATCCCTAATAAGTACTAATGTTTTAAATGTATTTTTCATGTATATATGCTTTATGACCTTATTTTCGATTTGATCAACAACGTAAACTAATGCCAGTGCTGTTTGAGTATAACATTAGTAGCCAGTCAGTTCCTATTGTTGCCAGTCAGATGCTACTGTGTTAAACAAACGTGTATAAAGTTAAAAAAATGTAGCAAATTATCATTTAGAAACCTTTAGTAAGAGCCGTGTGTGGTGAGGTTCTGTTTGACTCTCTTCATCGCGGCTTTCTCGGTCAGATTCTGTCTCAAACTGATCCTGCAGTTCGACACATATTTACATCTGGACCGGAGCTCATGACATGCACGTTTCGCCCGTAAAGGTAATGGGCATTAATCTTCCGGACAACGTGAGCGACAGTTTAGCCAATCACAACACATTGGGCCAAACTAACCAATCTGAGCCCACTGCCTGTTTCTGAGGGAGTGGTTTCATAGAATCAGGAAGTCAACCATTCATTCGAGGA